CTAAATTAACCACCTTATTTTTTTTAGTTATTATTACAGCATTAATGTGTGTAATATTTCTTACATAAGGCACGGTGGAATAATGGACTGCGGCTCGGATAAAGGAATTAAAGAGCTGAGTTCGAATTCCAGTCGAGTTTATTACATATACTCACGTACTAATACCCTCGGGAAATGTATAAATCTATCTCTTATCCACCCTCCAGGACATACTAAGTTATATAGCCTTGGTTGGCAACCTGTCTCGGAGAAAGAAAAACTCTGAATTCAAAACCTCCAATTATGGGTAAATAGTAGGGCTGACTAATCTCTGTAGCCATGGTTGGCAACTAGACTAAGGGAATGACAACTCTGAATTCAAATCTGGAACCAGAGTCCCTAAGTGAGTCTGATGTCATGTTCAGTTTCGTTCTGTCAACTCCTTCGACGACGTTCGTTCTAAGTTGTATTTTCCTTGGACACCATCAGTTACGTGGAGGTGGGGAAGGGGGAGAAATGCGCTGCATAGACAATTGCCAATCTGTCATAAAAAAAACAACCCTGCCCAGGCCTGCATCCTGGATAGGGCATAGCTCTTCGATCGTCGGATGACATTATAGTGATAATCTTTCTGATTTCTCTATTTTTCCTACAAAAGAATATAAACCAATGCGTAACAGAACAGATTAATATCTACGTTGGAAAATCTGCATGAACTAAAAATTCGTGAGCATAAATAATCGGTACGGACATCACCGAGAACGAGTACCTGAAGAGGAAATCGTTCTAATGTTCACCCAATAGAAGACCTAAGATCAACAACTAAATGAGGCTTAAAGCGAGGAAGGAAGACGGGAATATTATATGTAAGATTGATAATGGTTGGCCTTGAAGCAGTTAAAATCTTAGCGATCGAGGCAGCTTTCACTGGGAGCGTGTTCTACAAAGCAGAAGCTCTTGAAAAGAAGCTGATTGAAATGAACTTCCTCCTTAACAACAGAATACAAAGGGAATGCGGGTTGGTCGACCCTGTGGACTTAGCATGGTGCGCCTTAGCTGTGAAGGTTTGAACTATTGAAAATAAAGAAAGTAGATCTTCTGGACATTTTTATTTAGAAATATAAACCAGAAAATAGCAAGAAGAATGGGGAAGATTTACAGGGTGAAAAATTTTGGAGATGATAATGGTTTACGGGTTAGCCCATAGCTAGGGGAGAAGGCGTGGATTCTTACCTTTTTCAAGATTATTATCAAATAAGTGAATATAAAGAACTCAATTTGAATTGGAACTCGGTTGTCCAATTTCTAATTCCGAACCGTTACCAATAGAATAAAAAGTAATTCTACACTTAGGGTTTGTGTTATGGTCCAGGTCCTTGTACCACGGTGATGGTCAAAGGTAGAACCAATAAAGAAGAACTCGAACACGGATATGGAATAACACAGATATATTACAAACAGGAATATATACAGAGAAGTAGAAGTGTTAGTACGAACAATCAGGTTTAGTAGAGAGAACAATGTAGTCTCGACCAGTATCACTATTCCAATGTCTTGCAGTAATTGTCTGAACGCCACTCTGTTTCGGACGAACTCTGACTCGACTGACTGACTCACTCGCTCTGACTGACTGACAGACTCTGACGGACAGTATCCAGACTTCGGACTGAACAGTATTAAGTCACCCCCCCTCACGAGGGAATCATGTGGCACAAGGCCGGTTTAACGTGGGATCTCCGAGCCCGTGGGCTCGGCCAAAAATATGCCCATTGAACCCGTATAAACGGGTTCAGGGTCGGTTTACCTCCCTGAAAGAGACTCCGCCCTTCGGCGTAGCCTCGTTCAGGTTCCTCCCCGCCCGAAGGCACAGAGTTCAACCGATCAGCCGGTCAGCCGGTCGTCCGACTTCAGACTGAACAGTATTTAGTCATCCCCCACCGCGAGGGCATCATGTGACACGAGGACGGTTTAACGTGGGATCTCCGAGCCCGTAGGCTCGGCCAAAAATATGCCCTTTGAACCCGTATAAACGGGTTCAGGGTCGGTTTACCTCCCCGAAAGAGAATCCGCCCTTCGGCGTAGCCTCGTTCGGGTTCCTCTCCGCCCGAAGGCAGAGAGTTCAGCCGATCAGCTGGTCGCCCAACTTCGGGCTGAACTCCCTGCTTCCTCTTGAGGCGCAGTATTTATTATGTATGGAATAGTCCATTATGCTATTATGGGTAAGGTCCCATAACAGTTTGGTAAACACTTTTGACCTGTGTCAAAGCTGGAAAGTGATGTCAGCTCCAGCCCAGATACGTCAGTAATATTCCATGTTTGCATTGATCCAACTCTTGTAAGTATATAGCATGGAAGGAGGATTTTCTGAAACGGTACAAGGAACTGATAATTCCAGCATCTTCAGTGATGGTTCGTGTATACGAGCTCGACTGGTCTGGACTGAACTTGAGGCCAAATATTCGTTCAAGGCAATGAGCATCAGTGAGAGGATAAACGATAATCAGGACTGGAGAAAATTTAGGGCTCGTTCGGTGATGATGAAGCATTACAAGCTTGGTTTTGGAAATAATACAACCCAATTTTTCCCCATCGTGCTTTGAGGGCTAGGTGAGAAAAGAGATCAACGACTAGGCTCTGGTCACATAGATTTTGGGAGGTGTACCCATAAACCATGATATCACCCGTATATATATATATATATATATATATATATATATATATATATATATATATATATATATATATATAATGATCTTCATGATGTTCCGTGAAATGATACTTAATCATCCTGTTTATAAATGTGACACTGAGGTTTCTTCCTGGGTGAAAACCAGAATCGAAGCTTTCATTCTAACTCGGAAATACCAACTGAAACCCTGATCATCATTTTGGTTCTAACTCGCTTGCTCAGCCGCTATAGCCCACGGGAATCATTTATTCCGGCTATACCGGAGCGACAGGTCTGATAGTAACAGACCTCTCTTTGTCATTGCTTTTAATGAGTGTAAGTGTGTCCTCAATGACGCAAAGCCACTATTTGCTGATAGAATGAGACACCGTATAGGCTCTCACAAGTGTGGTTCTAGAAACGACTGCCGGTGCTGTAAGTTGATCGATAGCAAGTTCTCAGTTTTCCACTCTGCAATCAATTTGATGTACTTATATCTACTGCTGATGAGGCAGAGTGCATTGCGAGGAATTTCTCTTTCAATTCCACTCTCGACCCATCTGAATTACCATTTCCTGCTTCCGGTTTTCCAGCTTGTTGCAAGTTCTCCTCTGTAATTCCTGTCTTTAACAACTCTGGGAAACTCTATGACACTTAGAATTATTGCCTTGTTAGTCTCTTACCTTTTTTTGGCAAAGTACCCGAGTCCCTAATCAATAACGAATTGGTTAAGCAACGTACTTCGCACGACCTCCTTTCGGACAAACAATATGGATTCCGTTTCACCATGTCTACCACCGACGTTTTAGTGGCCATCAAAGAATTTGTCTGTGAAGCCGTAGATAAAAATGGTAAAACTGGAGCTGTGGCTCTTGATGTTATAAAGGAGCCTGGAAGCGTTTGGCATACTGGCCTTGTATGCAAGCTGAAGAGCTACTCTGTTACGTGATGAATATTTAGCTTAATTCAATCGTTTCTAACAAATCTGTGTAATGAAATTCTTGTTGAACGGGCATGCTTCCAGATCATTTCATACTAATGCGTGGATATCATAACTCTCTTTGGACTTACACTGTTTTTGATTCTCACCAATGATCTCCCCAATGACATCAATTCCAACTAGGTATGTATGCTGATGACACAAGCATTTACTCCTGTCTTCATAATAAATCCGACAGACCAGACAAAGTAAACGTGGCAACTGTTTTTGAAAAGAACCTCAAATCAAGGTAAACTGGAGTATGAAATGTCTTGTAAATTTCAACTTCACCAAAACAAAACTGCTTTTATTTACTCACCACGAAGAATTTATTTTCTACCTGCCATTAGCATGGCTGGTACTAAACTCCAGGAGAGCAACACCCTACGTCTTGTTGGCCTCACTTTTTTCCATTGACATGAATCTATTGCCACGTCTACTGCAAGGAAAGTTGGTCCGCTGTGTCGTGCCAGATAATTTCTCTCGTCAGAATTCATCTTGCACATTTATAAATCTAGCATTAGTAGAGCATTGAACACTGTTGCCATATCTGGTCTGGTGCTCCTGCTGTAGAACTTAAAATTCTTAACACAATTGTTTCCTTCTGCCTTTTCTACAAATATATTTTCAAGGCAATTGTTCTGATGAGTTCTTTTTCTCTGCTGTCCCAGTTACGTGAATTTAAGCGTTGCAAATAGATTGGCAACTAGGTCTCACCATTTTACTGTTGAAATAGCGAGATGTAAGCGCCACTTCTACTCTAACAGTTTATTTTCTCGCACTTCTCACATTCCGATTTCTTGCTTCCCTGATAATTACAATTTTCAAGAATTTAAATGCAACGTCAATCGTCTGTCTTTTTGAAAACTGTTCCTTTTTCTCCTTGTGTCAATCCTTCTCATTCTCAGTCTTTTCTTTCACTCCATGCGATCCTATGCATCTTAGTCGCATTAGTACCTTTCTTGGGGGGAAACGATTAAAAAATATACAGATAATAGCAAGTAGGCAAATTCCCGTTACTTGTCTTCTCGGGGTTCTCTCTCAAGTAGAAAAATAAGATTTTATTTTTTCTATGAAGACATTATAATGAAGCGTCAAGCGAACTTGCTTGGTTGAATAAAGAATAAATATTAATCAGTTATGTAGGATAACACCTCATCTTTTTTTCTTATTTTCTCTTAGGTTTACTTTTAATTTTTATTTTAATTTATTTTATTTTATTTTATTTTTTGTGTCGGGGGTGATTGAGATGGATTGTTTGAAAAGTTTGATTTGCTGAAAAAAAACAAAAAAAAACAAATTAAAGTATTCTTCAGATTTTAAGAATTTGTCGAGATTTACTGATATAAGTGATACTAATTAAACCATCTAAACTTACAGCTCCTGGTATTACGAAGCAGTACCACATCTAGGTACTGACCAGGCTCGACTTTGCTTAAATTCGGTGATCGTACAGGAACTGGTGTTTAAACGTGATATGGCAGTAAGCCTTTTTCGGACTGTGAGAGAGGACGTTGCTCTTATAACGTCTGCGATAAAATTACTGATAATGCTGGACTAATGTCACATAAGGCCGCATTGGATCTGAGGGAAAAAAATTAAACAACAAAAATCAATAACGATTCGTGAAAGCTAATCTCGGCAACAACAGTTCATTTTTAATCTAAAATGATGGGAAAAGGAGATAAAAACGTCATTGTCTGTTGGCTTCTGGTTTCACTCTTCCTTATTTTATTTTTGTCTCTTTTCTCAGAAGCATGTGAACCATTCTTTTTCGTTTATTTTATTTTTCTCCATTCTTTCTATTTCCCAACTACTTTTTAATCTGAATTTCTGGGATGAAGAGTTGGCATTATTTACACTATTTAGATTCGGACTGTTGTCTTCATGATTATTGTTGTTATCACATATTTCTGTAGTTGTACGTTCTGGGCTACATCAAGTGTATATCGATCCGGAACTTTGAACTGAATATTTTCTTTAATTTTGTTTCTCTCTCAATGCTCCCTAACTCGAGAAATGAAATACGGTATGATTATTTTCTGTATTATTTACATTCTTAGCTTCCAGTTAATTATAAACTCACCTTGTAAATAATTCAAATAAGGTTCGCCTAACATGTTTTTATGTGCCTCTATTTATTATTTTTTTCAATAGGTAAAGCACCAAACTGCAATTGTAGAAACCCGTGCGGTTGACCCTTAAATGGAAAATGTTTAACTAGTAATGCCGTATATAAAGCCGGAGTTGATGTTAAAGATATCTTCACCATGAATTATATTAGTTCAACTGAGTGTATGTTTAAGAAAGATAATCATTTCACATCATTTGTCTGAATAAATACCGTAACAGCACTAGGTACATCAAGAAAATTAAAGCTGAACAGAATACTCATACGAAGGTACCGTGGAGCAGTCTAAAAAGTAAAAGCTATGCCTGTGGAGAAAGAATTTAGTGTTAATAAATCTCATGATTGCAATCATCAAAGATGACAGTGCCAGTTGTTCAAAAAAAAAAAAGAGATTAATTCTGAATAGCTTGGTTCGGTATTTTGCTAAAGTGCATGAAGAATTAAAGTATTTTCTCATCTTCAACTATTTCCATTTGAATCAATGGTTTGTTTGATGAGATTCCCTATTTGACTGATATTTTTCTTTTTTTTTCTATGATAATTAAATTTGCTTTCCTGATTCGAATTGAGTGATCAGTTTAAATGTTATCGTCCCATTAAATTCTTTTATTGTTTCCTTTTCTGTTTTCAGTAGCTTCTGGATTAATTCCTACCATTTTTCTTTACAGTCACCCTGAAGATGTTTCAATAATTCCATATTACTCAGCTTTTTTACTTTGTCATATCTATTTTTCTACTCCTTCTTAGCTAATTCCCTACATTTATTTCTTATATTTTTCATACTTTCATTTCATTCTCTACACAAAGGACATCTACTATTTTATTTTATTTTGTCCGTACTGACGTTAACATATTTCGTTCAAATATTTGTGACTTTCTAATGTCTTTTACGCAAACATTTCTATGCTTGCAATTTCATTTTGTTTACGAATTAAATTTTCGATAGAGTTGTTTACCTTGCCATTATTGGCATCTTATCGTGTGTGCGTGTAGCCATTCATTATTTGGTTGTCTGATGCCAAACTACCGAGTAGGCAGTATGCATGCTTTATGGGGATTCGATGGGCAAATTGGCGCCATTTTATATTTTTGCTTTGATTTTGTTCCCTGCAGGGTATCGTAGGGTTAGTCGGTCACAGTCTATGAGAAAAAGAGAGCCATGACGTTACTCCAATACGAACATTACACAGTGTTTGGGTGTTAATCTGAGGACTGCAGAGGATTCGAAAAGAGATGGGGGATTCTAATTGTAATTACGAACATTTTTAGAGTGATCACTAGTGACGGCGACGTTATGTCTCCACTCATCTTCCCACGGGGATCAGAGGGTGGCTTACATTAAGTGCCTTGAGGAGGTAGTGATGCTCTGGCTCAAGAGGGTGGCTGCTGAAGTCCATGTATCTGGTAGCAAGGCTCTGCACTATGCCATACATGCAGGATAACCCAGTCATAACTGTAAAACAATTTCTGAGACCACATCACCACTTACGCTAGGTCACCAAACTCCCCAGACGTCAACCCCCTTGATTATTATGTGCGTGGCACATTTGGGCAGCATTCACAAATTTAAACAAGGAGACTGTCCAGGAGAATTACAGAAGATTCCGAAGTTGTCTGGGACCGTTGTTGAAGCCAATGATGATTTTATTGAATACATTTTCTCTTTAGTATTTCAAGATATTTTTGTGTAATTTAATAAATATATCTGTTAAAATGAGATGTCAGTGTTATTTTCATTTTTGGGTAATTCAGACGACAATTCATCCATCGCACACTGTATTTTAGATTGAAGACTCTAGAAGACATTATTATGGATACTGCTCACGAGTTAATGAGTATGTAACAGAAACCCAAGTGATAATTGGAGACGAAAATAAATAGTAGAAACCTGATGATTTCTACTTTTTGTTTTCGTCTCCAAATTTTTTCTCGTAAGCTTTATATATTTTCTTTTTTTTTTCTTTCGTTCAGTCCGTTTTATTGACAGTACAGTACGGACTCTTTACCCCGAAACACTTAAGACCAGGCTACTGTCGGACTACACGAATGCCAGATGACAAAAATCACCCATAAAAAAAATATGAAAAAATAGTCTTGCCAGTTCATTCCACATATATATTGTAGTATAATTAAAAGTACAGCAAAGTTTAAATTACAACAAAGATTAATGCTACCAAACAGCGTTTTATTGTTTCATGCAATACAAACGGGTGGTGTATATATATATATATATATATATATATATATATATATATATATATATATATATATATATATATATCCGATGCAATGAGAACGAAAATAATATATAAATTCTAACATTCACAAAATTAATCAAAAGAGAACTCAATACTGATAGTAGTGCAATAATTGTTTATTATAATTTTTTCATATAGACTCAAACAGTTTACTTACTACAAAGATACAACTTCGTTTCGGTGCATTTCAATTGCACCTCAACTGGTGAGAACCAAAATTGGTTATGGTTGCAAACAGGCTGTCTGTGAAACGTCATTTCCTTCTTTCCATTTGTTTGAGGAAAAATATATATATTAAGCAAAAAGGTGACGGAGTGAAACAATAGTGCTTGTTGATAGCATTTTGGCGAAGGATGGGTGAGATGTTAAAGTGGTGGTAAGACTGGAGAAATTCCTTGTCGATAACAGCGGTCAAATGTTTAGGGATAGCATTTCCAAGCCTTATAAGAGTGACGGGTGGAGGAGGAAAGATGGGAATAAGAGATAGTAATACGATGAAAGGGGTAGGAGGGATAAATCTAAACGATATTTATAGTAGTAATTGGGAATGTTGTTTTTGGTTATTATAAAAACCAAACTAAATCAATGAAAGTGTTTTGTAAATTAAGAAATTTAAAGGTTGTAATTTTTGGTGGGTATGTTGAATTTATGGGTATATTATATATATATATATATATATATATATATATATATATATATATATATATATATATATATACTTTCTGTGCTATATGTAGCTACATATAAAAAATGAGCGAGATTGTATCCCCAAAACACTATAATGCTGCCGGCTGTTGCTCAGTTATAAACAAAGTGTGGCACTGTTCTTTTACCCGTACAACGAACTAATGACGACTAATTAAAAAAAAATACCGGATTATGGGAGTTTCCGGATCACTGAGTGCTGGATTGAAGATGCCAAATTGTCATTTTATTTGCTATATTATGCTATTACTTATTACTTGTGTTTCTTTAATTAAATTTTCTTCTTCTTCTCCTCCTCCTCCTCCTCCTCCTCCTCCTTCTTCTTCTTCTTCTTCTTCTTCTTATTATTATTATTATTATTATTATTATTATTATTATTTCCTTGGATTTCTGTCGTATGCTCATTTCCTTCAGGGAGACAACCAGAGACCTAAGTTCGGAAATGGCTATATAAAAAAAAAATGAAAAAAAAGCTAAGATCACATACATTTTATATAGATAATACTCTTCGTAACTTGTGTTCTGTATTTGTTAGTACACTTTTTTGTATTTCTTTATGGCATAGGGTACCAGAGATCCCTTCAGCGAGTCTATCTGAACCTTTTCGAAACTGGAATTATTGATATCCCCATGTGCCACATTTTGAAATTTACGCTTCAATATCCTTGTATTTTAATAGTTTTTTGAAGATCTTCAAAGATACATTACAATCTGCAGGGACTGGCATGTCAATAGGAAAACAAATTGTTATTATTCTTCTTATTATTATTATTATTATTATTATTGCTATTTAAAAAAATGTTAAGACTATAGAATTCGCTTTTGTTATTTATATTAATACATTTGACCGATCATTCAAGAGCATTTATTCGAGTAAGCAATTCGTAAGAGAATATTTTTGCAGAGATAAACTACTAAGAGAAAACTGTAGTTAATAAACTGACTATTTTGGTGTATTTTCAGTAACGTGAACCATAGAGATAATGTCATTCTTAGCACTCGTTGTAACACCGGCGATGTTAATTTATACTCAGATCAACTCCTCAATTCTATCCCTGCTAAACAAAGAAAGCTGAACTGCGGTGAAATCCATCCTGTTCTTGTGTTTGCATCAGTTAGATTTTAACATAAACCGCTTACTTAGGTTTTCTCAATTCAAAGCGAAGTTAGCTGTCTGTTATTTTAACTTCATGATTGAAAGGGTTGTATGCCCTGATGTCCTTTCATATATTGTCTGTTATATCAGATTTTTCCGTCTCTCCTTTCAATATAACATTCATACGTTCCTCGGATTTGAATTTAAAGGAGCGGGGTTTATTTCTTCGTATTCTTTTCCGCATTCGACCTAGGTGTTTTACGTGCGAGTATCTATTAAAAGTTTTTTTTTTCT